CAGCGCCATAGACCACTCGGCCACACTACCGAAGGTGCCTATCCTTTCCATCTCACATTTTGATAATCTCAGATACTGCAAAACTTTCAAAGACCGTTGTTCAAAATGTGATACAATACCTTAGCTACTCCAGGTAGGTAGTAAAATGTTGTACTGCTAATGCTTCACAATGTATTTAAGTAGCTGCTCTATAGTGCATGTCATGCTTGACAATCAGTGAAAAATGCACAATCAAGTCTTACAATAACTTGTAATCAAAATAAAAAATTCAAAGATTAGCAGATCTGTATTTACTTTGGGTTTAAATTAAAGGTCCTTTGACCAAGTAAGTACCATGGGATGTCAAGGACATTTTCAAGCATTCACTTTGCATCTTACAAAGTGTTTCTGCATTTTGCTATCTTCTACCTTCAGTTCATCACATCAGGGCTTTGAAAAGCATTCTGGAACATAGCAACTATAAGCTACTTGGGAAATGCAGGCGTAAAGCCCATCTCACACACACAAAGGGAGTGCTCTACCATTTGAGCTAATTCCCTTCAACATACCACATGATCGGATTGATTAATGACCAAACACAATAACATGGCTCCTCATAAAAGCTAGCAATGGAAGTCCAAATGGCCAAAATACAGAGATCTGTGTTGCAACCATGCTATCAGAAAAGTTATAGAGTAGCAACATTGCTTTTCAAACCAACTTACTATTGAATTATTCTGGCTCCCCATCAATGTCCTTGTTTTTTTAATGTCAAGCAAGTCTTTTAGAGTTGTACAGATGGGAGATGTTAAGCCTTCAGTTCCTTGAGCAACTTGAAAGGCAAAAGGGAGAGGACAATCGAAAAGACAAGATTTGGCAAAATGTGAGGGTAGTGCTGTTGAAGCGTCTGAAATTATAAGGCAAGTTTTTATAAAGCATTTCTTGAGACGCAACAACAAAGTTAGGCAAGAACACAATTTGGCAGTGGTGGAATTTGAACCCACACCTCTCTCGAGACTGGAGCCTAAATCCAGTGCCATAGACCACTCGGCCACACTACGGAAGGTGCCCATCTTTTCCATCTCACATTTTGATAATCTCAGATACTACAAAACTTTCAAAGACCGTTGTTCAAAATGTGATACAATACCTTAGCTACTCCAGGTAAGTAGTAAAATGTTGTACTGCCGATGCTTCACAATGTATTTAAGTAGCTGCTCTATAGTGCATGTCATGCTTGACAATCAGTGAAAAATGCACAATCAAGTCTTACAATAACTTGTAATCAAAATAAAAAATTCAAAGATTAGCAGATCTGTATTTACTTTGGGTTTAAATTAAAGGTCCTTTGACCAAGTAAGTACCATGGGATGTCAAGGACATTCTCAAGCATTCACTTTGCATCTTACAAAGTGTTTCTGCATTTTGCTATCTTCTACCTTCAGTTCATCACATCAGGGCTTTGAAAAGCATTCTGGAACATAGCAACTATAAGCTACTTGGGAAATGCAGGCGTCAAGCCCATCTCACACACACAAAGGGAGTGCTCTACCATTTGAGCTAATTCCCTTCAACATACCACATGATCAGATTGATTAATGACCAAACACAATAACATGGCTCCTCATAAAAGCTAGCAATGGAAGTCCAAATGGCCAAAATACAGAGATCTGTGTTGCAACCATGCTATCAGAAAAGGTATAGAGTAGCAACATTGCTTTTCAAACCAACTTACTATTGAATTATTCTGGCTCCCCATCAATGTCCTTGTTTTTTTAATGTCAAGCAAGTCTTTTAGAGTTGTACAGATGGGAGATGTTAAGCCTTCAGTTCCTTCAGCAACTTGAAAGGCAAAAGGGAGAGGACAATCGAAAAGACAAGATTTGGCAAAATGTGAGGGTAGTGCTGTTGAAGCGTCTGAAATTATAAGGCAAGTTTTTATAAAGCATTTCTTGAGACGCAACAACAAAGTTAGGCAAAAACACAATTTGGCAGTGGTGGGATTTGAACCCACGCCTCTCTCGAGACTGGAGCCTAAATCCAGCGCCATAGACCACTCGGCCACACTACCGAAGGTGCCTGTCTTTTCCATCTCACATTTTGATAATCTCAGATACTGCAAAACTTTCAAAGACCGTTGTTCAAAATGTGATACAATACCTTAGCTACTCCAGGTAAGTAGTAAAATGTTGTACTGCTAATGCTTCACAATGTATTTAAGTAGCTGCTCTATAGTGCATGTCATGCTTGACAATCAGTGAAAAATGCACAATCAAGTCTTACAATAACTTGTAATCAAAATAAAAAATTCAAAGATTAGCAGATCTGTATTTACTTTGGGTTTAAATTAAAGGTCCTTTGACCAAGTAAGTACCATGGGATGTCAAGGACATTTCCAAGCATTCACTTTGCATCTTACAAAGTGTTTCTGCATTTTGCTATCTTCTACCTTCAGTTCATCACATCAGGGCTTTGAAAAGCATTCTGGAACATAGCAACTATAAGCTACTTGGGAAATGCAGGCGTCAAGCCCATCTCACACACACAAAGGGAACGCTCTACCATTTGAGCTAATTCCCTTCAACATACCACATGATCAGATTGATTAATGACCAAACACAATAACATGGCTCCTCATAAAAGCTAGCAATGGAAGTCCAAATGGCCAAAATACAGAGATCTGTGTTGCAGCCATGCTATCAGAAAAGGTATAGAGTAGCAACATTGCTTTTCAAACCAACTTACTATTGAATTATTCTGGCTCCCTATCAATGTCCTTGTTTTTTTAATGTCAAGCAAGTCTTTTAGAGTTGTACAGATGGGAGATGTTAAGCCTTCAGTTCCTTCAGCAACTTGAAAGGCAAAAGGGAGAGGACAATCGAAAAGACAAGATTTGGCAAAATGTGAGGGTAGTGCTGTTGAAGCGTCTGAAATTATAAGGCAAGTTTTTATAAAGCATTTCTTGAGACGCAACAACATAGTTAGGCAAAAACACAATTTGGCAGTGGTGGGATTTGAACCCACGCCTCTCTCGAGACTGGAGCCTAAATCCAGCGCCATAGACCACTCGGCCACACTACCGAAGGTGCCTGTCTTTTCCATCTCACATTTTGATCATCTCAGATACTGCAAAACTTTCAAAGACCGTCGTCCAAAATGTGATACAATACCTTAGCTACTCCAGGTAAGTAGTAAAATGTTGTACTGCCGATGCTTCACAATGTATTTAAGTAGCTGCTCTATAGTGCATGTCATGCTTGACAATCAGTGAAAAATGCACAATCAAGTCTTACAATAACTTGTAATCAAAATAAAAAATTCAAAGATTAGCAGATCTGTATTTACTTTGGGTTTAAATTAAAGGTCCTTTGACCAAGTAAGTACCATGGGATGTCAAGGACATTTTCAAGCATTCACTTTGCATCTTACAAAGTGTTTCTGCATTTTGCTATCTTCTACCTTCAGTTCATCACATCAGGGCTTTGAAAAGCATTCTGGAACATAGCAACTATAAGCTACTTGGGAAATGCAGGCGTCAAGCCCATCTCACACACACAAAGGGAGTGCTCTACCATTTGAGCTAATTCCCTTCAACATACCACATGATCAGATTGATTAATGACCAAACACAATAACATGGCTCCTCATAAAAGCTAGCAATGGAAGTCCAAATGGCCAAAATACAGAGATCTGTGTTGCAACCATGCTATCAGAAAAGTTATAGAGTAGCAACATTGCTTTTCAAACCAACTTACTATTGAATTATTCTGGCTCCCCATCAATGTCCTTGTTTTTTTTTAATGTCAAGCAAGTCTTTTAGATTTGTACAGATGGGAGATGTTAAGCCTTCAGTTCCTTCAGCAACTTGAAAGGCAAAAGGGAGAGGACAATCGAAAAGACAAGATTTGGCAAAATTTGAGGGTAGTGCTCTTGAAGCGTCTGAAATTATAAGGCAAGTTTTTATAAAGCATTTCTTGAGACGCAACAACAAAGTTAGGCAAAAACACAATTTGGCAGTGGTGGGATTTGAACCCACGCCTCTCTCGAGACTGGAGCCTAAATCCAGCGCCATAGACCACTCGGCCACACTACCGAAGGTGCCCATCTTTTCCATCTCACATTTTGATAATCTCACATACTGCAAAACTTTCAAAGACCGTTGTTCAAAATGTGATACAATACCTTAGCTACTCCAGGTAAGTAGTAAAATGTTGTACTGCCGATGCTTCACAAAGTATTTAAGTAGCTGCTCTATAGTGCATGTCATACTTGACAATCAGTGAAAAATGCACAATCAAGTCTTACAATAACTTGTAATCAAAATAAAAAATTCAATGATTAGCAGATCTGTATTTACTTTGGGTTTAAATTAAAGGTCCTTTGACCAAGTAAGTACCATGGGATGTCAAGGACATTTTCAAGCATTCACTTTGCATCTTACAAAGTGTTTCTGCATTTTGCTATCTTCTACCTTCAGTTCATCACATCAGGGCTTTGAAAAGCATTCTGGAACATAGCAACTATAGGCTATTTGGGAAATGCAGGCGTCAAGCCCATCTCACACACACAAAGGGAGTGCTCTACCATTTGAGCTAATTCCCTTCAACATACCACATGATCAGATTGATTAATGACCAAACACAATAACATGGCTCCTCATAAAAGCTAGCAATGGAAGTCCAAATGGCCAAAATACAGAGATCTGTGTTGCAACCATGCCAGCAGAAAAGTTATAGAGTAGCAACATTGCTTTTCAAACCAACTTACTATTGAATTATTCTGGCTCCCCATCAATGTCCTTGTTTTTTTAATGTCAAGCAAGTCTTTCAGAGTTGTACAGATGGGAGATGTTAAGCCTTCAGTTCCTTCAGCAACTTGAAAGGCAAAAGGGAGAGGACAATCGAAAAGACAAGATTTGGCAAAATGTGAGGGTAGTGCTGTTGAAGCGTCTGAAATTATAAGGCAAGTTTTTATAAAGCATTTCTTGAGACGCAACAACATAGTTAGGCAAAAACACAATTTGGCAGTGGTGGGATTTGAACCCACACCTCTCTAGAGACTGGAGCCTAAATCCAGCGGCATAGACCACTCGGCCACACTACCGAAGGTGCCTATCTTTTCCATCTCACATTTTGATAATCTCAGATACTGCAAAACTTTCAAAGACCGTTGTTCAAAATGTGATACAATACCTTAGCTACTCCAGGTAAGTAGTAAAATGTTGTACTGCCGATGCTTCACAATGTATTTAAGTAGTTGCTCTATAGTGCATGTCATGCTTGACAATCAGTTAAATTGTTACCCCTTATAAAGAGTGGTTATTGACCAAGGGTAAACTGGCATCTTAGGACTCAGGCAAAGTTCACACAGCAGCCTAACGTGACCCACACCATAAGTAAAGCTAGAATATTTTCACACCAAGCACCTAAAAATAATCAGGCAGTGATGGCTGGGACCAAACAGTCTATCCAGAAGCCGGGCAGAGTTAGAAAGATGAATAAAATTAGCAATTAAGCATCAGGCCTATATCATATCTAGGAGTGATGGCTAGACATTACCCCCCCCCCCCCCCCCCCCCCCACCACCACCACAACCACCACCACCCCACCCCCCCGTGCCGCCCCTCTTCTGCTGACCCTCTGCAAGGAATCTGCACACCCTCTTGCATAGTAGATCCCAGTATTGTGATTGTGCCTGGAAAGGACATGGCCATCAATGGCTTTCAAAGGTTCACACTAAGGTTTCTTGGTGGAGCTCCAGTTCTCATGGGTTTTGGTTTCCAGGAGGAAGGCTGGAGATGGATATCTTCAGTTTGTCAATATCCTTTTGTAATGACAGCAGAAATGTAATCCTTAACCTAAGCTCTGAAACCACAGCAAGAAGGTACAATTCATTGTATGTGATTTGAGGATGAGAAAATGACTGTTGCCTTTGATCTCATGGCTCCTTGTTGGACAATCCATCTTTTTACATAATTTCCATTTGGCTTCACTTCGTTACACTTGACCTCAATCTGGATTAGCGCTATATTTCCTGTAAGCATACCAAAATTCTTTTATATGATTATTTTGAGGTTTTACTAGCTGGTAATTTATAGTTTCCCCCTCCGTTTTTGTCCTAAAAATTAACCAAGGTATCCTCAGTCATGTCTGAGAGTTGTCTCCCTAATCTGCCTGGAAGAACTACAGGTGCTGTACAGAGCAAAGACCATTCATTCCTTTTCTTATGCATCACTGTCAGAAAGGATTGTAATGTTTTACATAGAGCCTGGGTAAAATGGATTATATGGGTGTTCTTGTATTTGATACAATATGGGACCCATTTTCTGGAAAAATAGCACATTGTGGGAATTGACTGCTCGTTCTGAGGCCCAATGCCTGGACCCCATGAGGGGAACAGCTGTTTTAGGTCAGGACTCATGTTTAGGAATAAGGTGTGAATTGAGTTTAGGGTTATTTACAGGTCTGAAGTAATGGTTTTGCTTATGGTAAGGGTCACAGTTGGCCCTGTACAGATAGATCAGAAATGAGAGGAAGGCAATGGAAAGGCCACACAAAGACAGAGGTGTAAGGGTGTATGTGTGTTCACACTTTGGATCATAATAGTGATTCATAGCTTGTTCCTCTCCTTCATTGCGGTCAGCAGAAACCTCAATGCCAACTTGGTTTGCCTTATTATAGGATAAAAAAAATAAACATTTTAGTGTAAAAGTATCCAGAGAAATGACTTTAAAGATGTACATGTATATAAATAAATGGATGTAAAGCTTTGATGCTTTACTCAGTCTTTTTTCTCAATTTCTTTTCTTTTAAAGTCACCCTGTGAAAGTAAAATAATGCACCTATATGTTAGACTGTGATAATACTCCCTGTCTGCTTCTGTTTCCTTCTAGGCGTGGCTGGCTGGCAGCGTCTGATTGCTCACCCATCCACCTGTGACCAATTATCATCAATAGTGTATCATCCTGCTTAGCACATCTCTCGTCACCCACTTCACAAGTTTTCAAGTTGTATTTGTCCTGATTTGAAGGACTTTTACCAGTCTAGCTCATAGAAGCAGTCTGTCAATCTGTCATAATGTCATCATTCACCTGTATGATCTCCTGTCTGACAATCAGACAACCTGAGAACCATAACTACAAATATTCAGAGGTTTGTGAAGTAGAAAGAAGTAATACGTATAAAATATTTTAGCTCAAGTAAAAAGTATTTGGTAAGAAATCTACTTGAGTACTGAGTAAGTATTAACTTATCAATATTTTATAACAATCTCATCATGCAAAAATATGAAATTATGTACAAATAGAAATATTTAAAAGACAAATAAAAGCACATATGAAAAAAGAAAAATAATTTCAAAGTAATTACTAATAATACTTTTACTGTTTGGATAGTGAGTTGGAACACTGCAAATGACATATCTGCAGGATGTTTAGCTGATCTCCATATGACTTAATAAGGAGATGCAAAATAACTTTAAAGGACAGAGCTTGTGTAGACACAAGAAGTCTTACATTAAAGGTGCATATTCATCCATCCATCCATCCATCCATCCATCCATCCATCCATCCATCCATCCATCCATCCATCCATCCATCCATCCATCCATCCATCCATCCATCCATCCATCCATCCATCTTCTTCCGCTTATCCGGGGTCAGGTCGCTTCAGTAAGCGGACCCTCCTTTCCAGAACCCCGGAATAGACCTTACCATGGAGGCTTAAGAGTGTGATTCATCTGTAGTTGAAGCACACCCTCGGGTCCCCGTTTTTAAATAAAGGGACCCCCCCCCCCCCCTGTCTGCCAATCCAGGGGAAGTGCCCCTGATGTCCACGCAATGTTGCAACACAGCCCCACAACATCCAGAGCCCTAAGGTACTCAGGGCGGATCTCATCCACCCCTGGAGCCTTGCCACCGAAGAGCTTTTTAACCACCTCAGTGACTTCAGCAACAGAGATGGGAGCCCCCAGGCTCTGCTTCCTCAATGGAAGACGTGTTGATGGGATTATTCAAAGTACTCCGTTCTCTGTTATTTTTGTGTCTGGTGCTTTTTTGCTAAATTTGTTATTAAAGGTATAGTAGAGGATACTAAAACTTTGGCAAAATGTTATTTTTGTGTCTGGTGCTTTTTTGCTAAATTTGTTATTAAAGGTATAGTAGAGGATACTAAAACTTTGGCAAAATAAGTGGTCCTCTTAATTGTCAATCATTCTGGTGATATGTTTACGTAAAACCGTCCTATGTGCTCGTCTCTATTTTCACTTAGCGTTGACGAGTCTGACATGGAAGGAACAGGAACAATTGCAAATCTTCTTTTGGATAGTAAGCTTGTATGAGCTATGCAAACAGCAACTTTTAAACAGTGTGCTCGAGGGGGAAATGGGCTCGTGAATGCTCTTGCACGTGTTTAATAGGCGTTTACTCTTGGAAGTGGGTACATGGTTGTGCATGTGAATTTTTTTTTTTAAATGGAGAGGATGGTCTTTTAAAAAAATTCTCGAAAATCCTCCACTATACCTTTAAATAAGGCTTTTAAAAAAAAATCACTGTAGAAACACTTCTGGACTTAAGGTAGGATACTGCATTTATGCATGATGGGTAAACAGGTACTATGACTAAATAAGGTAGGACCTCCCACCAAAAAATAATGAACAAATGTCAAAGATCCAAAACAACCAAAAAAAATTTGATTCCAAGAGGGACGGGTCTGGATTAGTGCCAGGATTACAATATGAATGTTAGTGCTTACAGAAGTGGGAGCTAAAGCTGCTGAGGTATTTATATGCTATTCCTAGCGAATAGCATATAACTGCATTGTGTGTATGTGAGAAATTTGTGATCACAAGGTCCAGTGGAAAACATTAACAAAATGTTACTCAAAAGGTAAATATTACAAGCTACTTCCTAAAAGAACATTTTGAAGTTATTTTGAAGTTATAAGTTCAGGACAGCATTCAGAGGAATCTGAGCCAAATTTCTAAAGAACTCTAGACCCTGTCCCTGTAAAGGACACTTCAAATCAGGCATACAGCCTGTCTAATTTTTAAAGTTCTGAAGCAGGATTATATCGTGTCCAACATGGGAACCACAATTATCATATTTTCCAAGAGATTGTGAGATATTTTTCATTAGCTTGGACAAACCTTATTTAATTGTAAGATTTTCAGATTTATCCAAAAGGATTTCTGAGAGCCAGTGTTGGGAAAGTTCTCTTTACGTGAACTAGTTCAAAGTTCAGTTCACACATTTTAAAATGAACTAGTTCAGTTCATAGTTCATAATTCAAAATTTTGAACTAAGTTCACGGTCCCAAAAAATGAACTAGTTCATAGTTCTTTTTTTTTCATATATTGCTCAATTACACCATAGCCTACTGTAGAACCACAGACAGCAATTATTTTATCAGTTGTAACACTGAAACTGTGCGTCAGATTTCATCTTCATATCCAGTTTTGATTCCTTATCCAACCAGGGTTTACATTAGCATTGAGGGGACAGATTTCCCCATTGTTGCTTTAATGCTTTGTTGCTGTCCATTCACTTCACACTAGTAGCAGCTGCAGCTTTCACCCCTACAGTATATTCTCAAAAACATCAGGAAAAATGTGCTGCTTGAATGGTCTTTTTTATGAGGAATTATTAAAAGAAAAACAGGAAAGTAGTCTTTAAGGTGCAAATGTTTTTTTTAATTTTAATCATTTTTTCCATTTGAAATTTCATTTCAGTACATACTAAAAGGAATACTGGAATCCTGGAAAATTATACCAGGCAGGTTTAAGTGCGGATTTTTTTACTGAAAGCCGGCGGGCAAAGTTTGCAGAGAAATGTAAGATCGTTGCCATCATCCTCACCGACCACCTGGTCATAAAACTGTTTTAAGTGATCATACTGCTGCTTTGTCGCCTCCACGGTCGCCTCCATGCTGCTGTGGCTTCCACGCTGCATTTTGTTTTGATGACGCACGCGGCTGTAGGCTACGACACTGGTAGCTGGTGTTGCCAGATTGGGTGTTTTTCCCGCTACATATTAAGGCCTGTTTACGGTGTGATTTAGCCGGGGTTTCGCCTGGAGGGCTCTATAGAAATTTGGCAACCTATTGAAC